TAAAAGCCTACTATGATCGAAACCAAAAATGATTTAAATTGCATTTTAAAACATATCTAAGTATTATAAATGATAAATAATGCTAATATAGATATAAAAACGATATTTTTTTTAAAAAAGCCTACTATGATCGAAACCAAAAATGCTTTAAATTGCATTTTAAAACATATATAGGTATTATAAATAATTTAGAATGCTAATGTAGATATAAAATCGATAGTTTTTTGGAAAATAGCCTACTATGATCGAAACCAAAAATGCTTTAAATTGCATTTTAAAACATATCTAAGTATTATAAATGATTAAGAATGCTAATAAAGATATAAAATCGATATTTTATTTTGAAAATAGCCTACTATGATCGAAATTAGAAATGCTTTAAATTGTATTTTAAAACATATCTAGGTATTATAAATGATAAAGAATGCTAATATAGATATAAAATCGATATTTTTTTGGATAAAAGCCTACTATGATCGAAACCAAAAATGATTTAAATTGCATTTTAAAACATATCTAAGTATTATAAATGATAAATAATGCTAATATAGATATAAAAACGATATTTTTTTTTAAAAAAGCCAACTATGATCGAAACCAAAAATGCTTTAAATTGCATTTTAAAACATATATAGGTATTATAAATAATTTAGAATGCTAATGTAGATATAAAATCGATATTTTTTTTGGAAAAAAGCCTACTATGATAAAGCATATCTAGGGATTATAAATGAAAAAGAATGCTAATATTATTATATATTTTGTTTTGAAAATAGTCTACTATGATCGAAACCAAAAATGCTTTAAATTGCATTTTAAAACATATCTAGGTGTTATAAATGATAAAAAATGCTCATATAGATATAAAATCAATATTTTTTTTTTGAAAAAAGCCTACTATTATTGAAATCAAAAATGCTTTTAATTGCATTTTAAAACATATCTAGGTATTATAAATGATAAAGAATGCTTATATAGAATTAAAATCGATATTTTTTTTGAAAATAGCCTACTATGATCGAAACCAAAAATGCTTTAAATTGCATTTTAAAACAAATCTAGGTTTTATAAATGATAAAGAATGCTAATATAGATATAAAATCGATATTTTTTTTTTTAAAAGCCTACTATGATAAAGCATATCTAGGTAATATAAATGATAAAGAATGCTAATAAAGATATAAAATCGATATTTTTTTTTGAAAAAAGCCTACTATGATCGAAACCCAAAATGCTTTAAATTGCATTTTAAAACATAATTAGGTATTATAAATGATAAATAATGCTAATATAGATATAAAATTGATATTTTTTTTTTGAAAATAGCCTACTATGATCGAAACCAAAAATGCTTTAAATTGCATTTTAACACATATCTAGGTATTATAAATGATAAAGAATGCTAATATAGATATAAAATCGATATTTTTTTGGATAAAAGCCTACTATGATCGAAACCAAAAATGATTTAAATTGCATTTTAAAACATATCTAAGTATTATAAATGATAAATAATGCTAATATAGATATAAAAACGATATTTTTTTTAAAAAAGCCTACTATGATCGAAACCAAAAATGCTTTAAATTGCATTTTAAAACATATATAGGTATTATAAATAATTTAGAATGCTAATGTAGATATAAAATCGATAGTTTTTTGGAAAATAGCCTACTATGATCGAAACCAAAAATGCTTTAAATTGCATTTTAAAACATATCTAAGTATTATAAATGATTAAGAATGCTAATAAAGATATAAAATCGATATTTTATTTTGAAAATAGCCTACTATGATCGAAATTAGAAATGCTTTAAATTGTATTTTAAAACATATCTAGGTATTATAAATGATAAAGAATGCTAATATAGATATAAAATCGATATTTTTTTGGATAAAAGCCTACTATGATCGAAACCAAAAATGATTTAAATTGCATTTTAAAACATATCTAAGTATTATAAATGATAAATAATGCTAATATAGATATAAAAACGATATTTTTTTTTAAAAAAGCCAACTATGATCGAAACCAAAAATGCTTTAAATTGCATTTTAAAACATATATAGGTATTATAAATAATTTAGAATGCTAATGTAGATATAAAATCGATATTTTTTTTGGAAAAAAGCCTACTATGATAAAGCATATCTAGGGATTATAAATGAAAAAGAATGCTAATATTATTATATATTTTGTTTTGAAAATAGTCTACTATGATCGAAACCAAAAATGCTTTAAATTGCATTTTAAAACATATCTAGGTGTTATAAATGATAAAAAATGCTCATATAGATATAAAATCAATATTTTTTTTTTGAAAAAAGCCTACTATTATTGAAATCAAAAATGCTTTTAATTGCATTTTAAAACATATCTAGGTATTATAAATGATAAAGAATGCTTATATAGAATTAAAATCGATATTTTTTTTGAAAATAGCCTACTATGATCGAAACCAAAAATGCTTTAAATTGCATTTTAAAACAAATCTAGGTTTTATAAATGATAAAGAATGCTAATATAGATATAAAATCGATATTTTTTTTTTTAAAAGCCTACTATGATAAAGCATATCTAGGTAATATAAATGATAAAGAATGCTAATAAAGATATAAAATCGATATTTTTTTTGAAAATAGCCTGCTATGATCGAAACCAAAAATGCTTTAAATTGCATTTTAAAACATATCTAGGTATTATAAATGATAAATAATGCTAATATAGATATAAAATCGATATTTTTTTTGAAAATAGCCTACTATGATCGAAACCAAAAATGCTTTAAATTGCATTTTAAAACATATTTAGGTATTATAAATGATTAAGAATGCTAATATAGATATAAAATCGATATTTTTTTTGAAAATAGCCTCCTATGATCGAAACCAAAAATGCTTTAAATTGCATTTTAAAACATATATAGGTATTATAAATAATTTAGAATGCACAATGATTCAGAATAGGAAAAAATGTTCAAAAATTCAAAAATTTCATGTTAATTAAACTTTGTCTTTTAAATGCCAGATTAAAGATCTTAACTTGAGGCATATCCTATGAAAATATCTCGTCCCAATTTGATGTCTAACTCCAGAAATCATTAGTTTAATCTCACCCAAAATTTGTTTACAATTTGTGTATGAAAAAAAAATATGATTTTTTCTACTTTAAGTTGTTATTTGGATGTCTTGGAAGCAGTTGCTAGCTAATTTAAGCTTAGCTTTGCATATAAAAACAACAAACTCAATAGAGATCTGCTTATTAAGCCTTAAAAATGAATTGAAATCTGAGTATTTTTGCGCAACTTAAACTATTCATAAGTTTAAAAGTCTTCCAAATACCTCTCTGAAACCTTTATAAATTAAATAATTAGGCTTAAATCTATCTCCCATACAACTGGGGACATGCCGTTTGATGCCGTTTTCGAGATATTTGCGATCAAAGTTTACATCAATTTGCATACAAAATTTGATCATGCACAATATTTTTTGATAAACTTTTACAAAGTTTTGGTAAAAAATCATGTTTATCCTTTATATTAAGGACTGATTTTTTGAGCAATGAACGAAAACATTATCTAGAAGATGCTAAAAGATTCAAATCAAGAGAAATTAACAAAAACTTTCAATTTTCTAATGTGTCGGAAAAATATTGTGCACAAGGAATTTTTGAACATTTTTTCCGAATCTGAATCATTGTGGAATGCTAATGTAGATATAAAATCGATATGTTTTTGGAAAAAAGCCTACTATGATAAAGCATATCTAGGGATTATAAATGATAAAGAATGCTAATATAGATATAAAATCGATATTTTTTTTTGAAAAAAGCCTACTATGATCGAAACCCAAAATGCTTTAAATTGCATTTTAAAACATAATTAGGTATTATAAATGATAAATAATGCTAATATAGATATAAAATCGATATTTTTTTTTGAAAATAGCCTACTATGATCGAAACCAAAAATGCTTTAAATTGCATTTTAAAACATATCTAGGTATTATAAATAATTTAGAATGCTAATGTAGATATAAAATCGATATTTTTTTGGAAAATAGCCTACTATGATCGAAACCGAAAAAGCTTTAAATTGCATTTTAAAACATATCTAGGTATTATAAATGATAAAGAATGCTAATATAGATATAAAATCGATATTTTTTTTGAAAATAGCCTACTATGATCGAAAACAAAAATGCTTTAAATTGAATTATAAAACATAAATAGGTATTATGAATGATAAAGAATGCTAATATAGATGTCCTTTCTTCTCAAATGCAGCAATTTGCCACTTCAACAAATTACAACATTTCCAAAATAAAATTCTTTGAATGATTTACAATTTTCATTAGAATGATTTCAAGTCCACGATTTTTCGAAGGTTCCATTAATTAACAATTTCATTCCAAAATTAACGGAAAATTTCTATTCGAAATTACCACTTCATCCCAATACATTATTCTCGTCATTGGGTCAATATAATTTTGAAACTTTGAGATTAAGAGTATTTTTTTTTTCTTTCTTTTTTGTGTTCTCATGTATGGTAGTTTTTTTGATATATGATTTTCTCTGCCAATTATTAATTATTCAACTACACTCATGCAACCATCATATTTAATCATTTCTCAAATTTAATTTAAAACCGAAAAGGTTAATATTAAAATAGTTTTTATTGTTGTTTCGCCAAAACTTAAAGAATTTGAATAAAACAGGATTACATTTCTTCTTTTGTCATATTTTTTAAGAATTTACATTTAAAACTTTGAAAATCATCCTGTATTGTTGTCAGCTTTCAAATGAGACATCCCCAAATGAATATGGTTAAACTTTTCCAAAAAGTGATCGATTGCCGCTTTTTTTTGAAAATAGACCAGTGTGGCATTGTGTTCGGAGATATTCAAGAAACTCAAGAATAATTTTTTTTTCGTCAGCGCCCTTATAAATGAGCCGACATTTTTTAACGGATTTATTTTATTTAAAATATGAAGCGCTGCTTCATTAGCTTTAAATCGCCGTGAATCTTTCTTTCTTCTTTGGCCCTCGTGGAATCCAGAGTTTTCTCGTAAATTTTAATTATTTACAGGTATGTTAATAGTTTTAAATTGAAATATAAAAGTATTTTCTAAATTAAAAGTCATACTGCTCAATTTTGTGATGAAGTTTTAATTTAAAATAAACGATTTGTCCATAAAATTAACAAAAATAATTTTGCCTTTTCTAACCAAAAAGAAAAATCCTGCATTTTATAAAAACATTACTTTTACCATTAATATAGTATATATATATTTACTTTAAAAACATTACTATTTTATTCCTAAATCTAATTCAGAGTGGTCAGTAAATATGGCTGCAGAAGTAGCAGAAAATTTTGAAAGTGAAAATTTCGATACAGGAGCTCAATTTGTCGAAAATGTTGCTCCCGTTGTTGCCGCCGAACTTCCAGACATCAAGCTTTTTGGTCGCTGGAGCTGTGATGAGGTTCAAGTATCTGATATGTCTTTACAAGTAAGTCCTTTTTAAAAACTCATTCAAGAACCTGAAAATCATTAATAATTTTATATATATTTTTTGTGCTTCAGGATTACATTGCTGTAAAAGAGAAATATGCACGCTATTTACCTCATTCAGCAGGACGTTATGCAGTAAAAAGATTCCGTAAAGCACAATGTCCAATTGTCGAGCGATTAACATGCTCGCTTATGATGAAAGGTAGAAATAATGGTAAAAAGTTGATGGCAGTGCGAATTGTAAAACATGCTTTCGAAATCATTCATCTATTAACCGGAGAGAATCCATTGCAAATCCTCGTATCTGCAATTATCAATTCAGGACCACGCGAAGATTCAACTCGTATTGGTCGTGCAGGAACGGTTCGTCGTCAAGCTGTTGATGTCTCTCCATTAAGACGTGTAAACCAAGCTATTTGGTTGTTGTGTACAGGAGCTCGTGAAGCTGCATTCCGTAATATTAAAACAATTGCTGAATGTTTGGCTGATGAATTGATCAACGCTGCTAAGGTACAGATTTGTTTTTAATATTACTGTGTGTAAAAATGAAAGATAAACATCAAATTTTAGTGTCCATACATAATACTTTGTTCATCCAACAAATTGTGAACAGAAGTTTCGCTTGTGGACAATATTAATCATTGGGCTCTTCGTAATCCTGATTCTTAATATTATACCATTATTATCTATCGTGGAAAGAAAAGTCACAAAATAAATATTGAACTCCTCTAATTTTCATTCACTAGTTATGGAATAAATTGAAATGAAGAGAGTTCATCGAAAAGTCATATACGTCCGAAGGTATTACCATCTAATTGGAAACATTTTGTCAATTTTATGGCATCGAATTCGGACCAGAGTAAATTTGGTCTTTCTTTATCGCTTAATTGAAATTCATATTTTTTCTTGAATTTCACTTTTTGTTTAAAGATTGTTACATTTAACTATATCATCTGTCTTTTTTTTACTTTGGTATAATTCCAATTCTTTAATCTTATATTTTTTTTGTTTGCATTCAACAGGGATCATCAAATTCATATGCTATTAAAAAGAAGGACGAGTTGGAACGTGTTGCTAAATCTAACCGTTAATCATCTAATTGTCGAAATCATCATATACATCTTAATAATGTAAAAAAACGTATCCAACATAAAATTATGATGATTAAAAATAAAACAAGAACTAAAAACACAATGAAGATTCTAGTTTATTTTACTTCCGTTTCATCGGAAGCAAAGGAAATTTATGAGCCTTTACATTTCAGTTATTTCCGTTTTGATCAATGATTTACCTTGGATGGAAAAGTCTTTATGGGTGAAGAGAATGAGAGCGCTTACCTAAGAATATACTGATTACATTTATCCTTCGTATATGATGATATTTATGAACGACCCTTAATAAAAAGAGTAAATCTTTGGAGATATTTTTTTTATATTGCATTTATTTTTTTCTATTTTGCATATTAAATTAGTTTTCAAAATTTTGTATTTGGCAAATACATATGCTTCGGCAAGCTTTAGCTTATATCAGCCAAAGCCCTACTTCTTTAAAGATACATATTTTTGCTCTAATACATAACATAAAATTACTTCTGATTATTTCTTTTAAATTTTATATGTTGATACATCGATGCTTGTTTATAGTTGATTGGGCCATAGTTTTCATCATCTAAGTCTGCATATACAACACCATCAAGTTCTTCGTCGAAATCAGAAGGTTTTAGTGACTAAAATTTTAAGTTATTAAGTGTGAGAAAAAAAAAAATAATTATTATTTTTTCTAAGCATTAAGTTGACATTTATAAAAATATATTATTACTTTTATTAGAAGCTTTTTAATGGAGATGATAAGAATTAGTTTATATTTATAGTTCTTAAAAAAATTTAAAAATTAAATAACGAAAAAATTACAAAAATCCTCGTGTTACTGATCGAGGGACTTCAGTGCATTTTTGACGTTGCGAAAAGTATATGATTACCCTATTTTTACGTTCATTTACGAATCATTAGAAGATCATTAATTTTAGTGTAATTAGCAAATAATTATAATGAATACTTATAAAGAAAGGCATTATTATTTAACGGTCAATAAATAATTTGAAATTTTTCCCGCTAAAAGTTGCACTACGAAAACATTAATGTTATAATTTAAATAATTTGTTCCAATGAATTTCCATATAGAAAAAGTTTATCATTTAACGATTTTTTGAGATTCAAATTTTCTAACGGTCAGTAAGTTTTTGAAAGCTTCCCGCCAAGAGATACACAAAAAATCATTAATTATAGTATATTTAACAATTTAATATCTTTCATTCTCATAAATAAATTGTTTATCATTCAACGCTTTTCTGAAGTTAAAATTTTGTAACGGTCGTATGCATTTGAAAGTATATTGCCAAAAGTTACAGTAAAAGCATTAATTATAATATATGGGCATTTCCATGGATGAGTGGAATTTATCAAAAATGAGTTGTAATTCTTCTCGAACTTGATGGTTCAAAATTTTTTAAATGTATTTTAACTTAATATTAGCTTGGCAAAAACTAATTTAACATCCAAATTATCATCTATATTTATGTAAAAAACATTCTAATCAGGCAACGGGTTGTTAATTACAGTACATTTTGCATTTTTAAAAAATCATTTTCTCACGGATTTGGAAAATAAACGCTTTGAGGTCGCCCTATTTCAATTATTGAATTACAATTTTTCATTTTTCTACTAAATGACTGTATTTTAAGTCGATATAAGTATACAGGGTCATAAAGGAAGAAAGAATGCACGTTACACTGACAATGAATAGTTGTATTGATATCTAGGAAGTGTAAAATTCTTGTTTAAAAATTCAGAATTCCACTTTTTGAAATAGGGTGACCGTCACAAAAATCCAAATATTTCGTTAATTAAAGCATATAGAAGGAAGAAAAATAGATATTTAAGTAGAGTTCATCGATTTACATACTCATATCTAGTTGTTGGATTGTCTAGATGGCTCATTTTTGAGAAAAATTAATTTAAAAGTCGAAATTTTTACATAATCACATCCGTGGAATTGCCCATAAATAACAGTCTGTTGCAAAAAATTTTCATATAAAGAGACTTTGTAATTCAACGGTTTTTTTTGGGATTCAAAAGCAGTTGCAAACTAGATCTCAACGTGAACAGACGTGTTTACAAATCGCTCCGCAAATTATTCAAAAATTTCAAAAGAAACAAAACAGAGATTACCTGTGAAGCTTTTTGTTTGCAAAAAGTTTCAAAATCTCAGTTTGATTTTCAAAACATCAAAATGGTAGAATCACCAAAAACTACCAACAACGAAGAAAATCTTTCTCAAAATCAGCATGGACTTAAAAGTTCTCAACAACAACATTCATCTTCAGTGACAATTCTCAATATTGAGGAAATTTTCAGTGAAAATGTTTCACAAGCAGCCGACATTGAGATGACAAATCTCAAACCAAAAAAACAAATAACAATAAAGAAGTTTCTCAATGAAGCAAGTAAAGCAGAAGAAAAACGCCCTCGAGAAGTGATAGTTCCCAACGCTCCTTTAAAAAGAGTAGCAAACGAAAGCAAACCAAAAGATGGGAACAAACCACTGTTCGTACTCCCACCAATGAAGAAAGCTTCGTCTTCGGGAAAACCGTATCCATTTGGTTCACCAGAACAGGAGAAAAAAAGATCGACAACTTCATCGTACTAGGGAGAAAACAGCAAAACATCAGAGCAACAAAAGACAATTTCCGTAAACACGGAAAGCAACAACAACAAATCTTAACAAAAATCAAAACCACCTCCAATTGTCATCAGCACAGGTGGAGCTGGTGAAATCAAGAGGTTGACGAATGAAATAAACAATCAACCTGGAAGTTTCTTAATTGAGACCAAAAAGGGTAAACAAGGAACAAAAACGGTAACAACGGAGAGTTGGGATTACTACGAGAAATTCATCCAACTACTCAAAGACAAAAAGCATCACTTCCACACATACTCCAGCCAAGAACCACTGAAGAAGTACGTACTCTATGGACTCCCAGATATGGAAATCAGTGAGTTGAAGAAGGAACTTCAAACCGTAAAAATCACACCAGTAAAAATTGTCAAAATGACAATGAAACACAAAAGACACGAACAAGACGACGACCAGAACTACCTCGTGTACTTCAAAAAAGATGTAGAACAAGGTGGAAATTTCTTGGAATTCCTCAGAAAAATCAAAATTGTCAGCAGTTTCAAAATTAAAGGCAAAAATAGACAAGCTGGACCATCTCAATGTTCGAAATGTCTGCAGTTTGGTCATGGACAAAACGGTTGTAACAAACCGTCCGTTTGCTTCAGATGCTCTGAGCAACATGACTCGAAAACGTGCCAGTACATATCGAAAGAGACCAACAAGGTTCCACTCGGAAAACTCAAATGTTTCTTCTGCGGTGAAAAACATACAGCAATTTTCACAGGTTGTAAAATCAGACAAGAAATAATTGAAAAGTGGAAATCAAAATCACAGAATGGAAACAACCAAAATCAAAACAAAACAGCAGGCCATTATTCATATGGACAACATGGACAACGGAGAAACAATCCTCCAATTCCGCATCTTCCTGAGCGATTAACCAGAAACGTCCAACATGCACCAAAACCTCAATGGAGAAAGAATAATGTGGAACCATCAACATCTGGTACACAAAAGCCTGTTCATCAAAAACAAGTTCCAGTCAACCACAAACCAAGGAACACTAATCCTCCTTCAAATCACAAAACCCTCAAATCAGGGAAATAAATATAACTTGAACAACCAACAAAACAATAAAGAAAGAGGAAAACATTGGAAAAAGAATCAGAGAAAAAAGCAAAACGAGCGCATTAATAACAATCAACATCAAAAACCAAAGCAAGATGTTGAGCTTATGGACTCAGAAGATATCAGTCCAACAAGTCAGACCTCGAATGAAGTTTTCCCAGAACCTTCATTCAGTGTTTGAGGTAGTGAATCGAAACATAACAACTAATCAACAAGCTCAAAGCACCAGCACAAGAGATAAAAACATATCAGAAATAAAGGAATCAAAGTGCAAGTACCTCATCAGCGAGCTTCTCAAATTAATCGCCAAAAATCCAGAGTTCATCGACGAAATACTCCAAGCAATCGGCTCAATCGCCAAAAACACCGCATACAATAATGGATTGTAGACAACAAAGTATCAACGTCCTCTACTGGAATGCTAACGGCCTCACTGACAAAATGTTAGCATTTCTCGACTACCTAAGCAAGCAAAACGTCGATGTTGCTTGCATCTCAGAAGATCTCTAAAACCAAACTCAAAAATTGACTCGCATCCAGACTACGTAATTCATCGATTGGATCGCGTGGATAGACCAAAGGGTGGTGTTGCAATCATCGTCAAAAGAAATCTAAAACATCAGCTTCAACCAAGCTACAACATAAAACTAATGGAATGCATTGGAATCAAAGTCTTCATCAATGACACGGATAGTTGTCACATCCTCTCAGTCTATCTCCCAGGAGGAAGCAAAGGAGGGGAAATAGATCAACATCTGAGAGATGATATCAACAAAATAACAAATCTGAGAGGAAATTACTACATCTGTGGAGACTTCAATGCAAAACATCGAGAATGGAACTGCAACGTTGCAAATAAATCAGGAAATGTCAGGAGAGTTCATGATCTACTTTCCTGACTCGCCAGCGTACTACCCAGAACTTCTGGGCCAGAAGATCGAAACAAATCAGTGTCAACAATTTACCTGATGCTCTCGAATTCCAACCTCGAAACAACAGAACTTCAATGTACAGAGGCAATGAGTGATCACTGTGTGTTTCCAAATCAAAACATCAAAAATCTTTTTTTTTTTTTTTTTTAAATTAAACTTTTTATTTATTTACATTTAAATTTAAGTATGTACAAAGTTTCTATACATTTTGTTGCTTTTTGTTTTAAGGTTTCAGGCATTCAATTTGCCTTTTGTCTCTTAATTTTGATTTCATTTACGGATTTTACTTTCTTTTGTATTTCATTTGATTTATTCGGTGTTTTGAGATGCAAGACGACTGTTGAAGTTCGCTTGCAACTTTCCGACGTAGTCTTCGATGGACGGTATTTTCGCTTCTGTATGAAGATCGGTGATCCTTTCATATCTTGTTTTATTGAGAACAATTCTCAAGAATTTGTTTTGCAGTACTTGAAGTTTTTGAAGATGGGTTTTTGCCATGCTTCCAAACGCTGGACAACCATATGTGAATATTGGTACCAAAACTGGACTCGCGAACATCAAAAATCGACAGAACTGAAAATACAGTCTACAGATATGACTACAAAAACGCAAACTGGAAAAAGTTCAAAGCACAAATTTCACGCCACATCGAAGACAACATTGGAGAATATTCTTGCAATACAGCAGATGAGATCGAGAATCACATTAAGATTCTCTCTGAACTCATCATGGAAGCGAGGAACTCGAGTGTAAAAATGAAAAGGGTCAACTTCGAATCAGCTAAACTCACACCGGAGATTAAAGATCTAATCAATACAAAAAGGAGTCTTCGTCGAAGATGGCAGAGAAGCAGAGATAATCAACTCAAATCTGAATTGAATTATCTGCAGAGAATCATCAATGAGAAAATTAAAGAACTCAAAAACAAAAACTGGAATAAGCTTCTCTCAGAGATTCAACCGTCAAACCAAACAGTTTGGAGAATAGCAAA